TAAATAAAGAAATACGGCAAAATACTTTATTTTCGCTTGGAATTAATTTTGGCTATTTCAGCTGAAGGAATGATTCAGTGAAAATAAAATCAAGTGAATATTCTTTTTTCCTATATTTTATATTTAACTTGTTAAAAATCAGTGAAAATAAAATCCATATAAAACACCCAAAAAGTCTTTTCAGCGAAAATTAATTCCAGCTAAAATAAGGTATGGAGATAGATTATATGATGGGAGAGTATTCAGCAAATTATTACATTATTAGACAAACACACAAACATGAAGCATTGTATAATACACATTTTCAGACCTCACAAGCGTCAACTCACCTTAATATATTTATACACCCATGTCCATTTGTCAAAAAGAACAAATCACTGTCATTATTCCATGAAATTTCATTGACTTCATATTTAAACTGTTCTTCAGCTTTGATACGATGTGAACGGGCATCAATAAACGTCACTAGATCTTCCTTATTACCGACTGCTATCGTATGGCCATCTGGACTCCAACATATGTTTATATTCTCACCTGTGAAATAATGATGGTGACAGATTTGTATTGACTCTAGAGAGCGCCCTCTATAAATGATACTGTAAAATGTATAATTTTCACTGGGTATAAATTTCGCTGATTTACCATATTGGGCATATTCAGTGGGTTTTAAATTCATGGTTATCATTTAGATAATGTGTTCTATGCTAAATTTTACATATTCACTGGGTTTAATTTAGCGCATTTTCCAGTCTGCAAAATAACAAAATTAAAACCTAGTGAACAATTAACCTATTTACAGTAGACGATGTCTTTACTCCAAACAACAAAAGTTGTCCTGTCAAGCATCAGTTCTTTAATTATCACATGTTAATTAAACAATGAATCACTCAAACATGTTGTCAGATCATCTTCTGAGACTCAGCTAAAAACAGTTGTCATTCAACTTCAAAAATTGGTGCTGAAGTTAAATTATTAAATAAATTATAGCTCAGTGGTCCCCCACTCTAAAAATCCTTGTGGAGGACACTGCATTTGTGATGGAAATACAAATTTTATTGTCAAAAATTCCTTTTCATTTTGGCACCAATGAGAATAATGAGAATTCAAGTGCAATCCCTGCCATACTCTCACAGCACATTATTTCAATAAAGTTTTCAAAACATATCTGATGTTGGTATTAGCTTCATTAACACATTGTCAGCGAATGTTTTTTGTTTTTTATTTATTTTACCCTTCAGCAAGCGATGTATTTATAAATGTTTAATTGTTCTTATTTTTGTTAATCTACATTTCTTATGCTTTTTGTTTTGTACATTATATCTTAGTTGTAACAAACAAATTCCAATTAAATTCAGATTACAGCCTATAGCTTTAATGGATTTTAATAGATTACATTGCATATACTTCATCATGCATGGACATGAAAGATTCATGCCCTTATCTTTTATCCACCCTTGCTTCAACTTATTTTATGTTGAGATATTAGTCCATACCTTTTGTGGCAACAGAGGCAACACATTTATTGGATCTTGCATCCCATATCCGGATACTTTTATCACCAGAAGCCGTGACGAATAAATCCGGATGTGATGGGTGCCAGCATAACTGATCAACGCTGTCTCCATGGCCACGATATATATGGTGATCCCTACTCTAAAGCAAATGAAAGTTAAATTAAAAACCATATAATTGCTCTCAAGTCAACAAACCCATGTTTATAAACTCAACTCATTTCAGTTAAAATATAAAGCTTCATTTAAATCCAAACAAGATAATTTAATTGGCTCGGCAAGCATCAATCAGGTAGACGAGTATGACTTGTGATTAGTCGACACTTTCACACCTCCTCATGATCTTCTGTTTGTATTAATCCACCAAATCTGTGATGTCACTATGTGACCTCATACAGTGTGTACTTGCATTTGAGGTTTCAAATATTTACGTTTATAACATACAACATGGTCAGTTGACTCTAACATATATATATATAATATACATTAAAACAATCATTCTATATTGAAATAGATTTGAAAAAAACATGGAACTGTAATAATAGTAATTAAAACAAACTATAATTTGAAGGTGATTTACAGAAAGCACACTTGGTTGTCTGAACCACCAGTACATTTATCTTCAATGACTAAAGAAAATCACAACTACACATAAAAATGTTCTGTACCGTATATCGCATTCTGAAAAGTATGAAGATTTCTTCATAAATAAGTCAGAAAGATTGTGTACTAAAATATAATGTTTTGTCAATTCAAAAATCAAACAAGTCATTTTCAATGACACGTCCCCGTTCCGTTCATAATTGAGTGACATATACATTCAAAGCAGATCATGACCGAAATGCACCTGCATATGTACAACACATTGTACTAAATCTGAACAAAATCCATCCATGCATGACTGAGATCCGATTCCGGAATTGTGAAAATACGTGATTTTGATGCATTTTCGGCCTTAAAATGGCCATCATTCAGCTATTGTTAAGGGGATCATGAAACAAATGCACATATCTATTTGTGACATGATGTACCATGTGTGTTTGAAGTTTGAACTTGATCAATCCAGACATGTCTTGGATACGGATCCAGAACTGAATTCTTTAAAACAAAATGGCCGCCAGTCGGCCATTTCGAACTTGATCCTGGAAAGAAAAATGACGTGCATCAAGGTCCTATTATGTTTAATGTATGTACCAAATTTTAACGAAATCCGTCCATGC